TCCTCTCAATGAACGTATCAACCCATGTAGGCATCGGAGCACCTCGCATAAGGCCAAGAGGAACGAACCAGATCCGCCAATCTAGTCTGGGCATGTGGCCAACCGGAAGGAAGTAGGGTGGATTCTTAGGATCTACTGGTTTGTGTTTGAAGGCAATCTCGATCCAAGGACCACCGGGTGAAACCTCAGCCTCAAAATTGAGCTCCATGCGGAACGTTGTCATACGCGCGAACAATCCATATCCACTACCAACGGCCATAGGACGCAAATGTTGACTCACGGTCGATGCCCAAGCACAAGCTGGATGGCTGGGATCTAGGGTGTACAATAGAGGCTGGGCAACTCCGAGGCCAACAACAAGGCCATAACAAATAGAAATCACATCTACGAGGCGATAAGGATCATCCCGAGAAGTTCCATGGTAAGATACCGAGGAAGCGAGGGCACACGTCAGATAATTGAAGAAGCCGTAATTGCCTGTGAAGGCGATCAATATCATCAACAGAATGATCCACAGGGCACCTATCGCCTCGAAGGGATAAGGGAGGAGAAGGAGCCATGGAACCGGGAAAAGCTGTACGAACAAGGTGAACCAGACCATTAAACGGCTAATCCTAGGAGTCAGCTTTCGATTTATGTGATAGCCAATGATAGTGGGCAAGGGTTGTGTCCAGAAGTGATAATCCATAGCCGTCAACGATGACCACTTGGGGCATCCCGAAAGAACCTTGCAAAGACCAGACGATAATATCAACTTGAAGAGCAACATTCGAAGACTCCAAATAGCACCAAGACGTAGAGGAGGTACCGAAAGAGCACATCCTAGAGCGGTGCACTCAAGAAGAAGCTGATCCCACTGCAGGTTAAGGAAGGTACCACAGCTACGTTTAAGGATCCAATATGTGAACCAACAGACAGCCAGTGATAGAGTGGATAAGGGTGGAGGGAGGAATATACCAATGAGGGCACACGACAGGCCAATATCACACAGCCTTACCAGACGGGTAGTGAAGATATCCTGAGGCAATATGGTACGGAAGTGGGGCAGATATGCCACAACATTATAAGATATGCTTTAGTCTACTCGATCTCTCGTGCCACAATCCTGAGATGTACTTGATTCCGATCAATTTCTCCAACTGGGGCAGTTATGCCAGAACCCTAAGATATGCTCTACACTACAGTAATTTCCTCTTTTGCCACAATCCCAAGATAGCCTTAATACTAATAGATTTCCTCAGCCGGGGCAGCTATGCCAAAACCTTACAAGATATGTCTCAGTGTACTCTATTTTTTTCGTTGCCACGATTTCAACATATGCTCAATTCTAATTGGTTTCTCCGACCGGGGCAGCTATGCCATCATTATAGAATACGTGGGGCCGATATGTCACCGCGAGGCACTTCCCGGCGGCAAGCATTTACTGAGTACACATCAGAGTTTTTTTCTGATAACCTGAACCGCCTCGTTAAAGTCCAATGATGGCATATCTGCCCGATAGCGAAATCAATCTCACTCACGCGGATAAGTTGCGCTGGGGCTTGTGGCATAGCTGCCCCGGCCCGGGTAGCTAATCTCCTTCAGAGAGTAATATACCATTGAAAACCGAACTCTCCCGACGCACATCGCCATGAGCCTCCCTGTGCGGCCCTGAACCCCACAGGTCCCCTCGCATCCACGCATGGCTGGCGATCTCCGCATGAATCATCGCTTCGGACACCCGAGGAAGCTGTAGGCCGCGGGACAGGAGACCCTGACTGCAAACCATGTGGGCATACCAGGTTGCCTTCCCACCCTGAGCTCTTTAATGCGATTCCGGGCTGGTAGTATACCCATGGATCCGCACAGGCCTGGAAGTTGCCAACGAAGCGATAAGAATGCCAGAAGGCAAACGACGTGAATGCTCTGAGAAAAGCAATAATGCATCCTGCCCTATACCGCGATGGAATAGCTGCAGGATCACGAGAAACTACAAGCCTTCGAACAGACAAGCATCTGCACTGGCCGTTGCTATTGACACCCCCACACTACCACACGGGTCCGTTCGGCTACTATATAGGCTTCATGGATACCCATACAGTAGACAGACTCGTACACCATTGTGCAAGTAGTTAGGACAAGTATAGCTGTCACGCCGCCAGCCCCCAGAGCTGACCTCCCAGTACCGGCCAATAGACGCTCCTGCAGGCCCCGGAGCAGCCAGTGCCGGTTACTTGCTGCGGACATG